ACCGGAACTGAGGGCTTGATCACCCTAATACGTTCCTCACATCACTCAGTACTCCTTTGAATTCAAAGAAATCAGTGAGTAGTTTGCAAATCTAAATTAGAGACACATATACTCTCACTATGGCTACTAAGATACTCAGAATGCTTGAGGGACACGAACGGATTGTTCCCCTTGATGCAGAGAGACCTCCTCATCGATATTGCAAGAGGCAAGTGTCATTCGGAAGTGCTGAAGAGCAGCTTTCCCCAAATGCAGAGAGATTCAAAACAGTGCACACTACAGATTTCGAATTAACAGAGCATGCAGACAATGGACAACAAGATTATCTGTTGAGTACTGAACACAATGTGGCCACCAAGCCTCAGCAGACAATCCTGGAAGGGCCCCCAAGTCTGGAAGTCACTATTAACATGCCAGAGAATAAGTCCTCGTCTATTACAGGCTGGAGGCAATCTGATGACCCTTTGCCAGGTGATAAGTCCTTGTCTACACTAGGCTGGAGGCACCCTGATGAACTATTACATACAAGTAACGTAGAACAAAGGCATGTACCTGTACTAGTGCATATTGTTAGACCAATGCACACTATAGAGTAGACACCAGTGAGTGCTTACCTTACTAGGCTCACAGAAGTAGATAATAGTAGTACAGAGAGTGTAAACACTCAGGAAACTGGCATTGAGGATTCTGTCAGTAAGAACAAGAGTATCAGTAAAGGAACAATACTTTCCTTACAGTAGGAAACGTTCCAGAAGGCCAGAAAGACATTCAGAAATGTCCCTAGGCTAGAGACACTGAAAGCCATGAGTAGGCTAGCCAGTCCATTCAATCAAGGAATTGATATCAAGGAATTGAACAAGAGAACTCATAAGTACAATGGTATGCATTAGGAACATGAAGGAAACATCGATTTAGACACAATCAATCCATCCAAACTAACTGGAGACGAGTTAGCTAAATGGATGTATTAGAAAGTACGTTGTCAACACTTAGAAGCTACTAAGGGAATGCCCAAACGATTGGAAGATGCTCTACTGTTTGAAAGCACACGTCCTTGGAAGAAAGATCCAGGTAAACCTTTACCTAGTAATAAGAAAAGTGCAAGAGCAAATAAAGGAAAAGCTCCAGACATTCGTAATTACAGTCAGGTAGAACTAGACAGTTACAGCGAAGCAGATTCTAATGTACAAAGAATGTATTTTCAGGAGATAGAGCACAGACAAAATGTGGAATCAGGACAATAGAATTTCAGAAATGAAAGCTACAGCAAGGCTCCCAGAACTCCTCAGGAATTACCAGTTCGTTTCAAGCAAGAAACATATTGCCCCAAGATAGAAAATCAAGGTAAGGACACATACTACAGATATGACACCCTAGCAGGGCAAGGAGACACATTGCAGAATAAAATACTTACATATATACACTATCATACTAATGTTCAAGGATTGACACATACACCCAGTACAAAACACAATATTAAAATGAACAGACTGAACCTAGACGTGATACATACAGTTCCAGATGCCTCTGATGACAGTGAAGACGAATCAGAAACTGCAAAAGGCAAAGAGAGCAAGGAAAAGAATTTCCACTACAGTTCCATACCCCCTATCAAGCATAGTACAGATAGGAATAGTAAAGGCCACAGAAAAAGAACTACACAAGATACTGCTGAGCCACAAAGTGCAAATACACTACAGACAAATAGATTCGCATTAGTGAGACCCTCAGACAACCTTGCAAGAAAGAGTTATGTGAATTGTGCAATACAGAGAGTAGAAATTGTAAAAAGGCAGGATCCTGACCCAGATCCAGGCAATAGCTCTTTGGATTCTTTGGATTCAAGCAGATACTCGAGTTCTAACAATAACAATGATAGTGATGCATTATTCGAACCTACAGACATTGATTCAAGCAACTCTGAAGGTACTAAGAAGCATAAAAAGCTTGCTAAGAGGAAATGGAACAAGGAACTTCTGAAATTGAAGATACAGATGCAGAGTACAAAACCTATCATTCCTACAGTTTATTCAGGTGAACCTAACCTTCAAAGATACACTAAGTTTGTCATGGAAGTCAATCAGTACATGAAGCAATCAGGTTTACATTATTTCCC